TTGGTTTTCTTTTACATGAATTATTATACGATTTATGATATCTTAGTGAATATCTCTAGAGATCTTAGATTCGAACACCAGAGACAATTAAGATAAACTTTCATCGTCAAATTATATTGAGAATCTTTAAAATGGATACTACCTCATCTTAGATTAATTTAACAACTATTATTTAATTTCCTAATTATTAATTAGCTGAAATTATTAAGTTTACCATATGTAGAGTGCACGACAGCAGTCCATTGAAACCGCATTGGTCCACAAAATCAAGTTGATGGTCTGATCCCGTTCACATGCTTACTTAGACTCCGGGGCATCTGATTTTCTAAGGTGGGTCCAGACCGTACAAGAGAAAGGAAAATGATTGGTCCCAGTACACAACCATGTGATGAACACGTGAAGTTTGTATGGGGAGTTCTGTTCCCAATCGCAGCCCCAGTCAACACAAGCATTTGCTTTTCTTCTTCTTGTTTGTTATTTATAGCCACGTGGACATCAGAATCAGGTCTTAACATGCCTAATCATAAGTCACGTCGATTAAACACGTTCATTGTCAACCAAATACCAGCAAGAGCAATCGGCATTTTTCACAACAGCTCTAACTACAGGTCAATATATTAGAAGATAAAACAAACGATCATTCTTTGGTAACATGCTAAGCGAATGGTCATAGGATTATGTCTTCACCTTAACCCCGAGCTAGATACACATCTAACTGGCTCGAATGATCATAGGATGATGACCCTTCGAGTCGAGAATTTTTTTTCGTGTTCCTGCAGTTGTCGATGTCATCTTCTCGTCTCCCTGAATGTTCTGAATGACCAATCCGTTGCAGATACATGATACATCATCGCTATCATGCTGACTGTGAATATAGCTGCATTGGTTAGCAGCCCACCCGTACGGTCGAAATTCAGGGATTTCTTTGCATAGTTGAAGGTGGAAACAAGAATTTTGATTAGTGTGTTAGAGCGCTTCCCTTCGTGTGATGCAAGATTCTCTCCGGATGGACTATTTGGCAAGCAGTAAAGGTTTTCAGGTGAGACATAACGGCTAGCATCATGTACATCTCCCACAAAAGCTAGAGCTTCATCGATTACTTTGTACTTCTTTCCATGATGCTCGGCCAGTCTCAATGCGATAATTATCTGGCTTTGTTCTAATCGTGCAATGGCAGCATCTCTCTCAACCCGCTGCTGTATTTGTACAGTCTGTAGAAGGAACAACGAAATGTATAGCATAAGTGATCCATGTGCCATGCTACTTGGTAACATTCGAAAAATCGTTTCAAACATGAAATGTAAAAGCAAACAGGTAAGGTCAGAAACAGAGAAAAGTTGGTCAAAATGACCACAGCGCCTAAAAAGAACAATGAATCCAATCCCAGCATTTTTCAATTGGGATTATGAAGCAATAAATCAGGATTCACCCCCATACAATAGTTGTGTTGCCATCTTGTAATGCCACTCTAGACCCTAATAAGCCTCTTCATCATCTCATCATTCTCCAAAGAGAACAGAATCCACAAAACTAAAGCAACTTCATTTCGGATAAAGCTGGTACATTCTCTCCAGACTCCAGAATCCACAAACCAAAGCAATTTGATTTCAGATAAAGCACATTTCAATACAAGCTATATTACACAGATCACAGAATGCTCCCTCAAGAGAACCATAATTTAGCCATAAGTTGCTCGAGCTCGGGTGAGTATCAGACACGGGTATATTCAATTTTTTCCCATATTCTGAGAGAGTCATGTTTCCACACGAATTTGAAGCTATTGAGTGAAAATTGACGGCTTAGATTAACTCTTTGTTTTCTCTTGAATATCTTCTCATTTCAATCCCTAGGGTTAATCTCAATCTATTTACACTCATCCCACAATCCTAAATCTGTACATTGTGTAATTGGATTCTATTCCCCGTATATATGTACATATATAAACAAAACTCGACTTTGAAGCTATTGAGTGAAAATTGACGGCTTAGATTAACTCTTTGTTTTCTCGTGAATATCTTCTCATTTCTTAATCCCTAGAGTTAATCTCAATCTATTTACATTCATCCCACAATCTTAAATCTGTATATTGTGTAATTGGATTCTATTCCCCGTATATATGTATATATATAAACAAAACTCGACTTTGAAGCTATTGAGTGAAAATTGACGGCTTAGATTAACTCTTTATTTTCTCGTGAATATCTTCTCATTTTCTAATCTCTAGGGTTAATCTCAATCTATTTATATTCATCCCACAATCTTAAATCTGTACATTGTGTAATTGGATTCTATTCCCCGTATATATGTACACATATAAACAAAACTCGACTTTGAAGCTATTGAGTACTTGCCCATCTTATAAAACATAACAAGCAGGCTCTCAGTTCCCCAAATAACAATTCGCAAGACTAGAAGCAAGCACTGGAAATTCAATTCCCATAAAAGAATTACAGCTCCCGTATATCAATTTTAGAAATTAATCTAACGCAAATGAACAAAAACCAGAGAAGAAAAAAAAGAAAGCGAGTTAAAACCTGACACGGAAAACTTCGAGCTGGTCCTCGAGATTCTCGAGAGCGGTTCTGATAGCATTAAGACTCTTGGCCTCTTGAATAGCGGAGTCACCATCGTCGACTCTAAAGTCCTTGACGAAAACAAATCCGGTTCTGTTATCGTCGCCCCCGTCGACATCGTTGATTTGACTTATTCAGTTGCGCTTAATTTATTATAATTAAGCAGTTGGATATAAAGTGTTGAATTTGAATATATGTACATACAGGAAAAAAAAAGATGTAAATGCTAATAATCAAATTTTTATTATATAAATTTGACTTATGAGTTGCCTTTGTTCATGTAGTAGACTCAATTTATCATTTTCTTTCCTATCGTATTTTCGAATCAATTTAACTCTCAAAATTGTTTAATTGTATCATTCTATATCATATTCCTAACTTAAAACCCTAAATTATAAACCCTTAGCTAGGGTTTAAATTTAAGGTTTATAGTTTGTAGTTTATGGGGTTATGGTTTAGAGTTTATGATTTATAATTTAGGTTTTAAGTTAGGGATAAAGTATAGAATGATGTAATTGAGTAAATTCGATGACTAAATTTTCTGACATGTCAATTTTTTGTCAAACAAATAATAATAGTGAACAATTTTGTAATTTTTAATCAATTGAAAAACTATATTTTAATTATTTATAGTTGAATGACTTACCTATAAAATATCATATACTTGAATGATTATATAAGTAGTTTACCCATAATAATATATACTTTGTTTTGGTTACCCTCTCGATTATAAGGTTTCGCCTCGACTAATTAAACCGACCCACGTCAAACACTTAGTTTTGGTCAGTGAGTCTACCAGCATGGATTTGTTGCATACACAATTATTCAAACTCGAAACCTCGCTTAAGTAATATCAAACTCCTTACCCTTGAACCAACATATTGGTAATATAATTTTTATCAACCACATGACTATTGTTCTTTTAATGTCGCATGATATAAAGTAACAAAGACCTTTATGTAGTGTTTTGGAATTTAATCCCTATTTTTTTATTTCCAATAATTTAAACCCTCGAATTGTTGAATTTAAAAAATAAAATCCAATTGATAATATTGTTGATGGACTTTTGTTAAATTTATATGTGGTATTTTAGTAGGCTTAAACCATAAAGTAACCCTTAAAATTGGTAAGTTTGGTCAAATTGACTTGTGTAGTTGATGGTTTTTGTCGGATTGGCCCTTGAACTTTTGTTAGTAACTTGTAAGTTCACGGGCCAATTTTAACCCAAACAAATTTTAAGGGTAAATTTGACCACACATGTTAAGTTTAAGGTCCAATATGAGAAACTTGATCATCTAATGTGCATTCTATATTTCTATATCAAAGTTATGTTTGTTCCACGGAAAAGCCTCCACGTCAGAGTTCGATAACAAGAGTATTTTGCCACGAATCTTGGGACATGTCATTTTATAACATTCTCTCAATTAAAATAATCAATTGTTATACCTCATTCACATGTCACAACATCACTATTAAATATTTAATTGTGGGTACCAAAACAAAATTTAAACTAAACGTTAATAATGATTTTGAACAAAAATAAAGTTTTTAGTACTCAAATAGAATAAAAATAATAGTTTAGATATTAAACATGTAGTTTACCCAAAAACTGACCTTACTTTAGGGTTTTACCGTACTGAATTTTCTCATTGATACTGCATTAGGGTTTTAGCAACTCGCGTTGAGGTTTGTCCAACTCAGCGTGAGTCATGCCTCGTTTCAAGCGGTAATAGGAAGCCCTAAAAGGATATACCCAACGCCGAAACTTTCATCGGCAATAAATATAAGGCCCTGTTTGTTTCTCACTTACTCAGTTTTGTCATTTGACGATTAGGTCGAATTTTATTTTCACTAAATATTATTCCCCCATTCTATTCCACCACTACCTCATAACACCAAAGGTTGGAAAGCAAAAGGACTTAAAAGATCCTTGTACTTTTAAAAAAAAGTTAATGTGGTCTTTATATTATTCTTTTCATAATATGATCCTCTAATTTAAAACATAAATTTAATTTAAGTTTTTTATAAACGTTTTTTGCCGTTGATCATTACAGTATTAATGTGTCAGTTTATGTTGACATGAAAGTCACGGTACTGACATGGCATATATATGTCATATCATCTATTACATTAATCTATGACACTAAATTGAAATGTTATTATCGTGAATTGTCACATCAACATCATAAATTATCACATTGATACCATAACGAACAACGACGATTTTCAAATATATAAAGTCATATGATGTCTTTTTGTATAAAAAAAAGAAAAAAAATTCTTTACGCATTGTGTTGGTGGGAATAAAACTGTAACTTTCAAGATATATCCCAAACGTGGCCTTAGGTTAGAGGGTTTTGTGCGTCTCCCGCTTTTATTCTGGTAAGCATTTTTCTACCCTTTTTTTCCTCCTTTTTTTATAATAAATTTCCTCCTCCCCAAAGAAATTGGAAAGGCCATTCAATTTTTGTTTGCTAAAAAAGTCAAAAAAAAATGCTCTGATATTAGGCTATTTGAGAATCAAACCGTCGTTTGATTCTGTTTTCACACTCTTTAATTGATTTTTTTTTTCATACAGAGGAGAATAAAGCAATAGAGATGGCGGAGACAGAGCAACGAACGCAGATTCGGATGAGTTCAGAGCGATCTTCACGAGTTGAAATCAACGGCCACGATTTGTCGATCACGGAAACAATGATAACGGACATAGGTGGGAGTGAAGTTGGTGCTCCCGAGGATCGGCAAGATAATAATACTTCCGATTCGAATCTAGGGATCGGAGAGCGTGCTTTCTCTGCTGCCGGTGCTGCTGTTTTATCCGCCATCATAGTTAATCCGCTCGATGTTGTCAAGGTAATAAAAATTAGTTCGTTTTAGTTTTAGTTTTATTTGCTAATTGTTTGTTATTTGAATGTTCATTGCGTATTTAGCATAATAGTTAATCCGCTTGATGTTTCTTTCCTGTAATTAACAGACAAGATTGCAAGCTCAGGCAGCAGGAGTGCATTATTCGCATCCCCTAAGTAATCTTATAGGTCGAATGGCATATTTTGGACCAAACACGGTAGCAGTGCAATCTATTCTTTCACTTTCCATCTTTAATATCCATGAGAAACGAATTGTTATGTTGTGTATGTTTTTAAGTTCTTCCATTTGTGAATGTTTTGGATTAGATGTTTTCTGATTTGAAATGTTCGCCTTCGTGTACTCGTGCCGGAGTCTATGGAACTGTATCGATTTGTCCTCCTGATTGTTTTCAGTACAGAGGAACATTAGATGTCTTCAACAAGATAATACGACAGGTTGGTGTTGCAATGCGGTCGTCTTGTAGCTTGTTGATAACATTGTTGTAATAACCTAAACTGCTTACTGCTTTATCTTAACAATACATTGTTAATTGAGTATTTTTTCTATATATGTTTGTCTGCCTAACAGGATATCTTCTGCAGGAGGGATTTGCTAGGTTGTGGAGAGGGACAAATGCTGGTCTTGCTTTGGCTGTACCGACAGTGAGTTTCTATTCTCATTAGCAATCCTTTCAGCAGTTGGAGAAAGTATTTTTGCATATACATCATGTACCAAATATTAATAGAGTTTTTGACTGTAGTCACATTTATGTACAGGTGGGAATCTATTTACCTTGCTATGACATATTCCGTAACTGGATGGAGGGTTTTGCAGAACAATATACGCCTCCTGCAATACCATATGCCCCTTTGGTTGCTGGCTCTTTGGCAAGGTCATTAGCTTGTGCGACATGTTACCCTATAGAACTTGCTAGAACACGCATGCAGGTGATTTTTACATTAATCTGTATACATTTTGTCGCCTTTTTTGTGGTGAAAGTGATTGTGTACATATTGCTGGTATTTCATGCTACTATATTTTTCCATTTTGATCAAAATAGGTTTGCCATCTCTTCTTTAAAAAACAGATGTCGGTTAATTCATAGATTCTTTTTTTCTTTTCTTTTTATCGTTTCTTATTTTTGTCAATTTTCTGCTTCAATTACAGGCATTTAAAGATACTGGAAAGAAGCCACCTGGAGTTTTTAGTACCCTTCTAGGAGTCTTGTCTGATGTCAAGGGCAGAAACCCTCAGAGCAGTTGTAAGTTAATCTCCACTCTACCTGTTTCTGGTAATTCTTACCTTTTTTAGCATGTTAAGTTTAGCCTATCGGGAATATTGCTTTTCCTCTTGTATTTTTACTTTCTATGCCCTTAGCATCAAAAAGTACATTTTCACATTCATTTTTGTTGTCATGATGCAGATGACAAATCTTTCCCCTCACAATTCTAAGCATGATTTTCTGATGTTTCCCTTGACAGTACAAGGGTATCGCGTCTTATGGACAGGCATGGGAGCACAACTTGCTCGTGATGTTCCTTTCTCTGGAATTTGTTGGTCAACCCTTGAGCCTGTGAGTTCCCATTTGACCATATCTTAGAACTCCTATAGTTGTCTACCTCGGTGACCATGGATTGTTCAAGAAACTCATTGCAACAACTGAGTTTGTTGGTTATTCTACCTTATTTTGCAGATCAGGAGAAAACTTCTTGGTTTGGTGGGGGAAGAATCTGATGTATTTACTGTCCTTGGGGCAAATTTTTCGGCTGGGTTTTTGGCTGGAAGCCTTGCTGCTGCTGCTACCTGTCCTCTAGATGTTGCTAAAACTCGAAGGCAGATAGAGGTTGCTCTCCTTCAAAAGCTTATGTTGCTCTCCTTCAAAAGCTAATGTTGCTGCATGTTGAACTTTTATCACATGTTTATCCAATCAGTAGTTAGTTTTAGTTTTATCCCAGGAAGTTCCAAGTAAATCAACTAACTTGCTCTTAAATCGTGTTTTAATTCTAATCTGCTGTCTCTGTCTCAATTTTCAGAAGGACCCTGTCAGGGCATGGCGAATGACCACTAGGCAGACACTGATGGAAGTTTGGAGGTATCTTCCTAACTCACTGTTAATAGAATTAAGCATCTTTGATGGAGATGGTAATGTGTATTACGTGGTTCCAATTTTCCAAGTCTCAGATTTTCCCCAAGACCTTTAAGAATTTTTTGAATAAGCTTTCTTTAGGCAGCGACATGCTTGAGAAACTATTTTGTGTTGATAGGAATGAAATCAAACTTTATTATTACTTTTGGAATCAATTATTTCTAATCAGCTGATAGGAATGAAATCAAACTATATCATATTCTAATCTGTTATTTCTTTCTGAAGTATCTAACTTGTGTAGCGTTAAGCATTAAATTTGTGTTCATGGAGATTGAGTTCTATATGTTTGTTGCTTCTACCCGGAGTGTTCATGCTTCCATATTTTGATTGCCAAGAGCCGATAATGTTGATAGATTTGAGTCGAAGCTAGCTTTGTATAATCCAAGATTGAGTTGTTACTTGCTATATTTTGTTTGGTACAGGGATGGAGGAATGAAGGGACTTTTTACAGGAGTGGGTCCTCGTGTGGGCCGTGCTGGCCCTTCGGTTGGGATTGTGGTTTCGTTTTATGAAGTAGTGAAGCATGCTCTACATCACCATTATGCAAGTTCATGACCTACAAGAGCAGCAGCTGATATCGCCTTTTTGGTCTACTAAACGAACGTTTGCTTTGCTCGGGATGTTGATGTGGATAAGGGTAAAGTATAATATATGGTGATAATATGCAAATTTTGGCGGTGTAGATCCGTTTCATATAGGTCTCAAGGTTTTAACTTCTAATGTTTGATCATACATACCATAGGTTGTCGGAAATAACAAGCGGTTTGGTCGCCGTAAATCCTCGTCCAAGTCTTCAAACTCACATAGGTAGCACATATGCTTCTCATTTCTTACCCAGTTTCGTTGTTGATTTTACTTGGCTCGAAGTTGAGCTGAACATTTTTTGTTCCCGAGTTTAATTACGTTTTGCTGAGGTCTGCACTGTGTTAAGCGGGTTTTACTTTTTACCCGAGGGAAGGGGGCTAATTTATTTTTATACATAGTTACTGGGCTATTTATTTAGCGTACTCATTGATACATAATCCATTGATTTGATTAGATACCATAGAATTTACCCTTCATTATAGGAGTGAACTATAAGCCTAAATGAAGAAAGTTCAATTATTTTTTTTAACAATTTTAAATTTAATCGTAATTTTACCTAGAGAGAAAAAAAAAAGGGAACTTTAGGGAAAGAAAGGAGAATGTTTAAAGGTGAATATCTTGGTCAACCGATTGAATACATTTGTTTAGAGTTTAACTATTAAATAATATAGTGTATTGTATAGTTATGAATAATATAATATTATGATTTTGAAATTATGATAAATAATAAAATAAAATAATTTTTTTTTCATTTTTACTTTTGTTCTATTAGTTTGTTTATAATTATTTTTTCTTTAAATTTATCACATGATAATTTTATTAGCAGGGAATATGATTAATATACATTAATAATTTGAGGATCAAGTTTTAATGTTTATAAGTTTGAAGATCAAATTGAAAATTATAATTCAGGATGTATTTCGACTTGATTGATTATAACATACCGTCTTGATTTGTTACAAGGCTTAAACTAAAAAGATAACTAATCTATGTTGTTTTTTTCCCTTTATGTATCTAAATTATTTTTTGGTTAAATTAAGTACTTAAATTATTATATATAATTATTTCTAGTATCTTAATTAGTTTTTGGTCAAATAAATCATTAAATTATATTTTTACGTTAAGCCCTTAAAATATTTTTATCAAGTACCTAATTTTATATGACGTGTCAATATCTTATTGGTCGGAAAATATTTTCTAATTTAAAAATATTAATATCTAAAATAATTAAATATGATAATTTAAATACCTAATTTAACCAAAAAAAACAGTTAAGTACCTAAAACAAAAAGGAACATAGTTTATATACTTATCATTTGTAGAAAAAATACCTTTTTTTTTACTTTAATTCTTGTTATAACTTTATAATTGTCTTTTGGACTTGATTTATTAGTCAATATATTAATGTTGCTTTTATGTTATTTCAACCTATTATAACCCTTTTCTACATTATAATTAACAAACACCAAAGGATCAAAGTCCCCATGTGTGCCTTTTCCACTCCCATCACAACCCATCATTAAGATCGGTCGCATGGGTCACCATCACCCTATACGAAAAACCTAACTCCAAGGGTGCCTTTATTTTTTGTTTTTAGGTCTTCAAGTGCATACAAACAGGCCAAAAGGGCGCGCCAGCCATGGCATTAAAAGCCTGGTTTCTTGAGACATCCCAATCCCATAATTTTACGTAATCACCATGAAAGCTCTCCAAGCTAACTAAAAACATGCCTGGGAAAAGCAAGAGGAGACAACAACCAAAAACATAGGCTCCACTTCTTTAAAACCTTACAACCCCATTTTCCAGTACTCGAAATTTAAGCGGTCTGTCCGTATAATTACTGTTTTTCGAATAAATTTAAGGGTATATAAATAATCTCCCGATTATAGGATACTACTTTGTTTAGTTCCGACTATTAAAGGTTATAAAATAATCATTCGATTATAAGATGTTAATTTGTTTTAAAAGTTCTAAAATGGTCACCTAACTATTTATGATGTTCCAAACTTGTCATTTTCCGTTGAAAAATAAATTGGATGTTGATCTACTGTCTCTACTGTCTGAGATATGATAGTCGTTTGAGATTCTATGATCAAATTTTATCATATCTCAAACAACTTATTAACATTCGAATTGTCTTAAATATTTTAACGAAAAAGGACGAATTTAGAATGAGTAGTTGGGTGACAATTTTATAACTTTTAATAGTCGGATGACTTAACAAAGCAACATCCTATTGTTGAGGAACTATTTTGTAACTTTTTGATAGTCGGGTGACTCAACAAAATAACACCCTATAGTCGAGAACTATTTATATACTTTACTCTAAATTTAATTTTATTTTTCGAATAAATTTAAGAATTTGAATCTATATATTTGTATACATTACATCCCCCAACAGTTCAGACGTATCAGAGTGAATTGTGATAGGGAAATTACACTGTTCGCATTTGTATCGTAGTTTGCTTTTTTCAAACTTCACTGTTTGTTCAATACCTTTCTCTGTTCTATTTTGTTTGTTTTCATAAGAAATTGAATATTTTAGGATAAAGTTACAAAATAATATTTAATTTTATCAAATGATTACAAAATGGCCACTACTATGTTATAATTAGATGTAAAAATTTTGATAAAATTTAATGATTATTTTGTAACAGTTTGATAAATTTAATGATCAATTTGTAATCATTTGATAACTTTAATCATTTTGTAACTTTTAAAAGTTTAGTGGCTAAAAATATTATTTGGACATAGTTTGTCGTCCTCTTGTGTATTTTATCCATTTCTGTTTCTGTTATTTTCTGAAATTTATAGATTTCGAAAATCGAACCAATTTAATGATTGAAATGAATTCAGGTACAGTTGTAGTTAAACTGAGTAAATTCGAAAGGGATAAAGTAGGTTGCAGTCCTTAGAATTGATAACTTTTCTTAATTTAACATATTGAACTTTTTGTGTGTGTACATTAGTCCTTGAATTTGACATTTTTTTCCTCATTTTTAGTCTTTGTGAATTGTGATGATATGATACGCCATCACATCATAATGACCAAAAATATAAGTTTAGGGACTAATGTGAGCAACAAATATTAAGGGTTAAATTAGAAAAAAATTACTAAGTTGAGGGACCAAAGGTCCTTTTATACCATTTGGAAACTTAATTCATCATAGTTCAAATAAATCTAATAAAATATGGTAATATAAATATTCAAATATTAATTCAAAATCTTTAAATTCAAATGATCTAATTATACATTTGATCCCTTTATTTTATGAAAATTCAAGAGTTAATCTATTTTCTAAAAATTATAAATGATAAAACGATATAATATTAAAGTGTTATATCATCGTCTACTCAATAACGTTATGAAAAGGTTAATGTGTTCGACGGAATACAACTTCGATGTTAATGTGAGACAAAAAAGAATTAAAGGACCAATGTGAGAGGAGGGTAGAAGTTCAGGGCTAAATATATAATTAAGCCAAATGAAATTATCCATTGTTTAATTGAACCGGGGAAGAAATCAGCCGCACCGGGTTTTAGCCTCCTAAATCATAAGTCCTAATGTGATCCCACAGTTACAATTTCATACATTTTTTAGATAATAAATAATAGGGTCAACTACGCATTTATTGATTAGACTATCAGTTTTGGTCTATTTTAGTACTTAAATTTTTAAATTTTTCAAAATCATACCTAACATTTAGTTTTTATTTTAATTTAGTACATTGTTAATTTAACGTTAATTTTTTTAAAAAAAAATTAAAGTTTAGGTAGTAAAATGGACCAAATTTAATAGTTTAGGTACTAAACATGTTAAGTTTTTAACAATGGGTACTAAAATAAAATAAAAATTAAACGTTAGGTATGGTTTTAGAAAATTAAAAGTTTAGGTATTAAAACGGGTCAAAACTATTAAGTACTAAACATGTAGTTTACCCTAATAACATTTAAAGTTTTTTTTTGTATTAATTTTGAGTTAGTACAAGGCAATATCTGTTCAAGTAACACTCTAAACTTTTCGACCTCGAAAGCTCACACCCTGTCATCTATATTGTTGCTTGAACTTGGGTCCTCAATTTCTTTATCACGGATACCACTTGGTTCGTACAATAATATTTAAGTTTAAATAAGGTATATTAATGCAAATGAAATAAACCCATGGTAAATTAGCTTTTATTTTTGTCTAAAATTCGTTAAGGAAAACCTTTATGATATTTGTATGAGAGAGAAATGGAGTAATGTTGAGCGCATATATTTCGTGTGTGCTAATAAATTATATGTTTCAGCTTGGGAAGTAAATGAAGCTGAGTAGAGGCCCCCTCTCTCATTTACTTCATTTTTATTTTCAGTTTTGCACTTTTGATTTCAAATTTTGTCCCATTTTCTCTCTTTTTATCTATGCATTGGGGGTCATAAATTATAGGGTAAAGTACACAAATGGTCCCTCAATTATAAGATATTACTTTATTAAATCCTCCGACTATTAAAAGTTACAAAATGATCCTCGACTATAGGATGTTGTTTTTTTGAGTCTCCTGATTATTAAAAGCTACAAAATAGTCACCTGACCATTCATTGTGTTCCAAACTTGTCATTTTTAGTTAAAAAATTATTGGTAGTTTCAGTTGGACGTTAACCTGCTGACTGAGATATAATAAAATATGATCCAAAAATCTCAAACGACTATCATATCTTAGTCAACATGTTAATGTCCAGCTTAAATTGCCATCATTTTTTAACGAAAAAGGATGAGTTTGGAACACAATGAATAGTCAGGGGTTCATTTTACAATTTTTAACAGTCGAATGACTCAAAAAAGCAATACCTCTAGTCGAGGGATCATTTTATAAGTTTTAATAGTCAATGAACTCAATAAAATATCGCTCTATAGTCAATAAACCATTTGTATACTTTACCCTAAATTGTAAAAAGATCACTTAGTCCTATGCTTTTTTTAATTTATAATTAAGAGCATTCTATTAAAAATATCAAAATTTTGATTAAGTTCTTAATTTTTTTATAATTTAATTAAAATTTGAAGTAGAGAGATTAAATAAATTTAATCATTAAATAAAAAATTTATTTAAAATTTTGATATATTATTATTGTGTGATACATTCTGATTACGTCAGTAGAATTTGAACATCTTTTTAAAAAGAATACGAAAGTTTTAAAAAATTTAAAAATTTATTAAAAATTAATACATTTATAAAATTGTCACTTGGCAATGCTGTAATGTGACGTGT